ATTACAGGCTTCCATAGATAATCTCACAAATGTGAGCTACCGTGGCCGAACTGTCAGCTCACAGGACACTCAGGCAATGGTAGATCAAGGGCCCCCCTGCGGGTTTTATGGCTACAGCTGCTCTTCTCCCCCTTCTTTGCTCGGCTCGCACACAGATATTAAGTGCGTGCTACCCAGCACCCAGAATGGCTATGTGAAAGCCACACAATCATGACTCCAACACCTGCAGGGCCTCCTAAGAGGGCCACGTTTACCTTTAAGAGTTTAATCCAATCAAAACCACTGTTTTACTAAAACAGGAGTAACCCTTATTGACATGCTTCATCTGTGTTTCTGGTGACATTACAAGCAACCATACATGTGCAACCATACAAGTCCTAGGCTACTTGTGTGGTTGCGTGTGTGGGATGCAGTTTGTGATGTTGTGTTCCTGTATGTCAATGTGTTAACAGAGAATGAATAATTTGTCTTTCTTTACCTATTGTAATGCGCTGCAGAATATTTTGGTGCTGTACAAGTGATTGTAATAATTGCATGTGTTTAAGGAGGCTGCATGCAGTATTGCAATGGTGGTGATCAGGGCCGGACTGGGAAAAAAATTCAGCCCGGGCATTTTTTTATCACAGCGGCCCACTAAGAAGGGGGCGGGGCAGAGAGGGTGTGTTTTGTCATCACTCATGACAAACACGCCTCCTCTCAAAGTGAGCATGTTGGTTCAATGCTCTTCCAGGGCAGACCATGCGCAGAGCTCTGCTGAAGAGCTTTAGCATGAGAAAAAAGCTCTGTATTTGTTCTGCACAGTGCAAGCAAATTTAATAACATGCTTGCACTGTTTCCTTGCAACTTGTCTCTGGTGTCTCTATAAATGGATACCAGGAGACAAAAGGGCCAGGAAAGAGTATTGTGCAGGTGTTTGGAGCCTGTTTGTGGTATTACGTTTGTGCAGAGTGAGCTGGTCATGGTGTGGTATTGTGTAATAAGGTCTGTTTTAGTCGTGTTGTGTTTGTGGTGTAATGTAATGCATATGTGGCTAGGGGCTGTAGAGAATGTGTGTATAGGGGATGTAGCAAGTGTGTGCATACAGGCTATAGTGTGTGTGTGTATAGGTGATTTAGTGTTTGTAGAGAGTGTGTGTTCAGGGAATGTAGTATGTGTTTGCGTACAAGGAATCTAGTGTGCATATAGGGGATCCAGAGTGTGTGTGTGTATATGATCCAGAGTTGGCTAAAGGATCTAGTGTGTGTCTGGAATGTAATGTGTTTAGGGGTGCAGTGTATGTGTGAGGGGTGTTGTGTGTATGTGTGTATATATATATATATATAGTTTATATAAATATGTTTGGAAGTATTGTGTATGTGTGTGATGCAGTGTATTGGGGGGTTGTGTGTGTATGTGAGGGGTGCAGTATGTGTGTGTGAGGTGTGATGTGTGTGAGGGTGCTGTGTGTGTGAGGGTGCTGTGTATGATGTGTGTGAGAGTGTTGTGTATGTGATGTGTGTGAGTGCTGAGTGTGATAGTGCTGTGTATGATGTGTGATGTGTGTGAGAGTGATGTGTGAGAGTGCTGTGTGTGAGTGTTGTGTGTTGTGTGTGAGTGCTGATTGTGATAGTGCTGTGTATGAGTGTTGAGTGTGATAGTGCTGTGTATGATGTGTGTGGAGTGCTGAGTGTGATGTGTGTGTGAGAGTGCTGTGATGTGTGTGAGAGTGCTGCGTGTGATGTGTGTGAGAGTGCTATGATGTGTGAGAGTGCTGCGCTGTGTGTGAGAGTGCTGTGTGTGAGAGTGTTGTGTGTTGTGAGTGCTGGGTGTGATAGTGCTGTGTGTGATGTGTGTGAGAGTGCTGCATGTGATGTGTGTGAGAGTGCTGAGTGTGATGTGTGTGAGAGTGCTGAGTGTGAAACTGCTGTGTGTGAGAGTGCTATGATGTGTGTGAAAGTGCTATGATGTGTGTGAGAGTGCTATGATGTGTGTGAGAGTGCTGCGTGTGATGTGTGTGAGAGTGCTGAGTGTGAAAGTGCTGTGTGTGAGAGTGCTATGATGTGTGTGAGAGTGCTGTGTGTGAAAGTGCTATGATGTGTGTGAAAGTGCTATGATGTGTGTGAGAGTGCTATGATGTGTGTGAGAGTGCTATGATGTGTGTGAGAGTGCTGCGTGTGAGAGTGCTGAGTGTGAGAGTGCTGTGTGTGAGAGTGCTGTGTGTGAGAGTGCTGGGTGTGATGTGTGTGAGAGTGTTGTGTGAGTGCTGAGAATGCTGAGTGTGATAGTGCTGTGTATAAATGTTGTGTGTTGGGGGGTAAATAAACAAATAAAAAATTAAGTGGGGGTAAATATATAAAAAAATAAAATAAAAACTAAGCAAAAAAAAAACTAAACCCCCCCCCTCCCTTCTTACCTTTAGCCTGGGAGGGGGGGACAGGCACGTGGTAGCTGGGAGGGGGGGCACCGGCACTCGCACACCATCCCTGGTGGTCCAGTGGTGAGTGAACTCTCTCGCGAGATCGGGGCGTTGCCATGGCAACGCTCCGGATCTCGCGAGAGAAACCCGGCGGAGCTGCAAGACAGAGCTCCGCCGGGTCCTCTCCCTCCCTCCCCAGCCGCAGGTCTATTTAAATGGGCCGGTGAGGGAGCTCTTTGATCTCCCCACCGGCCCGTCGTGGCAGACAGCGGGGCCGGCGCTCGGATAGTGCCGGCCCTGCATAGACCGGCAGGGGAGATCCCACCCTCCCTGCCGCCTCGGCCCATGTGGCTAACAAAGCGCCCGCTCGGCATTTGCCCGGTGGTAAACCATGGCCAGTCCGGGCCTGGTGGTGATGCTGCTTGTGATGTGTGTCTAGGAAAGCTGCTTGCAGTATTGCAATGGTGGCGATGCTGCTTGTGATGTGTGTCTAAGAAAACTGCATGCAGTATTGGAGTGGTGGCGATGCTGCTTGTAATGTGTGTCTAGGGAGGCTGCATGCAGTATTACAGTGGTGGCAATGCTGCTAGTGATGTGTGTCTAGGGAGGCTGCATACAGTATTGCAGTGGTGGCGATGCTGCTAGTGATGTGTGTCTAGGGAGGCTGCATACAATATTGCAGTGGTGGCGATGCTGATAGTGATGTGTGTCTAGGGAGGCTGCATACAGTATTGCAGTGGTGGCGATGATGTTTGTGATGCGTGTGTAGGGAGGCTGCATGCAGTATTGCAGCGGTGGCGTTGCTGCTTGTGATTCCTGTGTAGGGAGGCTGCATGCAGTATTGCAATGGTGGCGATGCTGCTTGTGAAGTGTGTCTAGGGAGGCTGCATGCGGTATTGCAATGGTGGCGATGCTGCTTGTGATGCGTGTGTAGGGAGGCTGCATGTAGTATTGCAGTGGTGGCGATGCTGTTTGTAATGTGTGTCTAGGGAGGCTGCATGCAGTACTGCAGTGGTGGTGATGCTGCTAGTGACGTGTGTCTAGGGAGGCTGCATGCAGTATTGCAGTGGTGGTGATGTTGCTAGTGATGTGTGTATAGGGAAGCTGCATACAGTATTGCAGTGGTGGCGATGCTGCTTGTGATGCGTGTGTAGGGAGACTGAGATGGGTACAGTGAGAGATAGAGGCTGAGGTGGGTGTAGGGAGAGATGGGGGTATAGAGGGTGCAGAAAGACATAGATTGTGGTCTGCTCAAGGCCAGGAGCACTCAGCAGATTTTCCGCACAGGGAGAGTAGTGGGGTGCCAGGTTTTATTTAGAAGGGGGGTTGCACGAGCAACCTATCGCTATATTATGTCAAATTATGGATTTCTGGCAGGAGGGGTCTCTGATCTACCCAGCCAGAGCATGACTGTTCATCCAGCCGGGCCCCTGACCATCTCAGGCCCTCGGTTAATGACCAATCTGCCTGAACGGGCAGTCCGTAGTTGTGAGTTACGGTGCCATGAGTATTTACTGCATGCATTAGATGATACCCTCAGCTGTTGCAATATACGGTTGATGTTAAATGGAGATGAAATTTCATCTTTTGCAAATGATTGGCAGTTATATCTGGGAAATTAGTCATTACTTTGCTTCATTTATATCTTTTTAGTGAATTTAAAAATTGCAACACAGCCAGAGCTTTTCTAAAAAATTCTATGTTTATGGAAAGCACAAAAGTGGTGGAGACTGTTTGAGTGGTGTCTTCGTCTTCACTGCTGTTTCTCAATATCTCTTCTTCTAATTCTCCCGAGATGGTTGGGAACTCTCAGTTTCGTAAATAAACCCCTCTAGAACACATTGTTCGTTTTATTCAATAAAAACAAAGACTTGCTCTATAATCCGAAAACACTGACACTAATTAAGATTATTGAGCCGAGCACTCATGGGAGATTGATGATTAGCGGCTGGTACAATGCACCTGGCACTGTCAGAACTGGAAGTAGTGTGTGCCAGCGTGATACGGTACATGCGTTTAATCCGTATCATCTAATATTCCAATAAAATACATTAAACAGCTCAAAAGCAAGTCTGACAGAACACAGACTCACGGACAACTCCCTGTTCTTGTTTTCTTTATTTCAGGTAAATGAGATAAGAAAGGATGTAGCTCATAGGTCCCGCATCTGAAAACAGTTCCACTATCTATACATTCATTGTCATATTTCCTGCTATACGCAAAAGGAACATTACAATCTGCGTAATTTATTTAGATTGGTTTCGAATAAGTATAGGGAAACCATAAATAACCGGTGTCTATTATCAAAACATGATATCCTGCAACAAACAAGCAGAACATAATTTACACCGACTTAGTTTTGTTATAAAGGACACTCGAAGCATGGCACTGGATAAAATATGATTTAAACGTCTTTATCTTACACAGGGATACTAATAATCAAAGAAAACAAAATTATTAAAAGAGGAACCAGCCATTAAAAATTATTATATTGATTTATAAATGCCTCAACTTCATATTCTTGGATACGCTTTTCAAATAATTTAATAATTTTAGATGAACTTTTAAAAATTATTTTTAAAAAAAATTAAAAAAAAAAAGGGGAATGGGTGGACGTCAAAAAAGACCCAGGCTAAACTAAATCCATATTTGCTACCAGACCAGCAAGGTTCATCAAAATTGTGGCATCCTTGCCAGCATCAATACCGCCACGGCACAAAAACAGGCCGCGGAGACGTCCTTAACAGCAACGGCCTACTAAACTCGGATGAATTTGCCTTTAAAATGAAGAGAAAGCTGCAAGATCTGCATAAAGACATCCAAGCAGATGTATCAAGCCTCACCTCGGAACTGATTCAAACAATCAATGATCTGGGTGATCGGACGATTGAACTCCAAAACAAAATGGATGACATGACTGACTCACAGAATCTTATGAGGGAGAAACAAAAGGAACCATGCAACGTAGCAGTTTCCTTGGAACAGAAATTTGCCGATCTACAAGACAAAAAACGGCGAAATAACACAAGAATAAAGATGAAACCAGGTAAAATACCACCAGTGGAACTAGAGGTTCTTGAAAGGGCACCTACAGACTTTGATATGGCAAACATGGTGATTGATCGTATTCACACACTCCCTAAACGACGTTATGCTCCAGCAACGGTGTCTAAAGATATTACAGACATGTATGAACTTCTTCATACATAAAGATCTAATTCTTCAACCTGCCAGAACAGCAAGGAATTTACCAAAGCATTATGGCACAATACACATTTTTCCAGATTGATCTTAATACACCATGCAATGGTGCAGAGACCTCAGACCAGTCACTATAATCCTTTGTGAAAACACGACACTATAGAGATGGGCTTTCCTCAATAAATTTATAATACTCAGGAATGGATCTACCAAAACAAAAACTTAACAGGATGAAGGAAAGAAGCTACTGTCCCTGTGTGATATTCTCCTGCAATCGAAAGCATCTAGCCCCGCATCTCCTTGAAGTGCAGAAGGGACCAAACCGACAAGGAAAGGGACGAAAGCAGCCTCAATGCCCACCATATCTCCTCCTTGAAAGTTAACAGGAAAGCACATATGTCAAGTCTGTAAAGTCTGGGTTCGGGCTTGAACTTGACCCCGAACTTGACCCCGAACCCCATTGAAGTCAATGGGGACCCGACATTTTGGACACAAAAATGCCTCTAAAACACTCCTGGAAAGGGCTAGAGAGCTGCAAAAGCAAGTAAAATGGGGGGAAAGAGTAGGACAAGTGCCCTGCAAACAAATGTGGATAGGGAAATCACTTAAAATAACATAAAAATAAAAAATACAGCTGAGCCATAAAATAGCACTAGATGGAATCTTTGATTTTAGCTTTGGAAGAACATAAATCAAAATCTAAAGCATGGCTGTCAGGAGGATTACCAGAGTTATTAATTTGAGAGAGGGTATTCTCTTTCATTGTTCAAACTGAGCTCAACTCCTGATGCTAAGTGACCCATAGGCTGAGGAGGCGGTGACCGTGGTGGTGTAGGTGGAAGCAGCGGTGGAGGAGGAGGATGAGGTAGCCAACACTGTTTTTTATGAGGTTTTTTAAATTGTGGTAGCCCACAAAATATTGGGACATACATAAAAAGAAACATTTGCGGACTGTGGTGCATTTCTTGCAGTCCTGATGCATGGAGAAAGGCTCAACTCCTGATGCATGGAGAAAAGGCCTTCACAAGCCTCTGCTAATGTGTACATAGTTTATACTAAGTGACCCATAGGTTGAGGAGGCATTGACCATGGCGGTGTAGGTGGAAGCAGTGGTGGAGGAGGAGGATGAGGTAGCCAACACTGTTTTTTATGTTTTTTGTTTTTTTTTAATTGTGGTAGCCCACAAAATATTGGGACATACAAAGAAAAGAAACATTTGAGGCCTGCGGTGCATTTCTTGCAGTCCTGATGCATGGAGAAATGCTCAACTCCTGATGCATGGAGAAAAGGCCTTCACAAGCCTCTGCTATTGTGTACATAGTTTATACTAAGTGACCCATAGGTTGAGGAGGCGGTGACCGTGACGTTGAAAGAGGAAGCAGCGGTGGAGGAGGATTATGAGGTAGCCAACACTGTATTTTATGGGGCTTTTTTAAATTGTGGTAGCTCACAAAATATTGGGACATACAAATAAAGAAATATTTGCGACCTGCGGTGCATTTCTTGCAGTCCTGATGCGTGGAGAAAAGGCCTTCACAAGCCTCTGCTAATGTGTACCTAGTTTATACTAAGTGACCCATACTTTGAGGAGGCGGTGACCGTGGCGGTGGAGGAGGAGGTAGCCAACACTGTATTTTATGTTTGTTTTTGTTTTTTTATTGTGGTAGCCCACAAAATATTGGGACATAGAACAAAAGAAACATTTGCAGCCTGCGGTGCATTTCTTGCAGTCCTGATGCATGGAGAAAAGGCCTTCACAAGCCTCTGCTATTGTGTACCTAGTTTATACTAAGTGACCCATAGGTTGAAGAGGCGGTAACCTTGGCGGTGTAGGGGGAAGCAGTGGTGGAGGAGGAGGATGAGGTAGCCAACACTGGTTTGTTTTTTTTTGTAATTGTGGTAGCCCACAAAATATTGGGACATACAATAAAAGAAACATTTGCGGCCTGCGGTGCATTTCTTGCAGTCCTGATGCATGGAGAAATGCTCAACTCCTGATGCATGGAGAAAAGGCCTTCACAAGCCTCTGCTATTGTTTACATAGTTTATACTAAGTGACCCATAGGTTGAGGAGGCGGTGACCGTGGCGGTGTAGGTGGAAGCAGCGGTGGAGGAGGTAGCCAACACTGTTTTTTATTATTTTTTTTATTGTGGTAGCCCACAAAATATTGGGACATACAAAAAAAGAAACATTTGCGGCCTGCAGTGCTTTTCTTGCAGTCCTGATGCATGGAGAAATGCTCAACTCCTGATGCATGGAGAAAAGGCCTTCACAAGCCTCTGCTAACGTGTACATAGTTTATACTAAGTGACCCATAGGTTGAGGAGGCGGTGACCGTGTAGGTGGAAGCAGCGGTAGATGAGGAGGAGGAGGAGGTAGCCAACACTGTTTTTTATGTTTTGTTTAGTTTTTTTAATTGTGGTAACCCCCAAAATATTGGGACATATAAAAAAAGACAACTCTGTTCCGCAGAGTAGCTGTTGACATTATAGTTGCGCAGGCACTTTGTTGACTCTAGAGAACCTCGGGCCAATCGCATATCCCCGTGGCGGTGACTTTGCATTCGGATGTCATCCATATCAACTTTCAATGCCAGTTTCTGTGCCTACCATGGTGACCATAGGTAACGGGGAATCAGGGTTCCATTCCGTACAGGGACCCTGAGAAACGGCTACCACATGCAAGGAAGGCAGCAGGCGTGCAAATGACCCACTCCCGACGCGGGAAGGTAGTGATGACAAATGACAATACAGGACTCTTTAGAGGCCCTGTAATTGTAATGAGTGTACTTGAAATCCTTTAACTCTGATCAATTGGAGGGAAGTCTGGTGCAGAGCCACTGACCCATGCGTGCTGCAGCTGAAACTCCACTATCGCCTGCTGCTGCTCGCACAGTCTCATGAGGCGTGAGCGGGAAGGCCGAAGTTACGCTGCAACGCAGACAGGTGAGCAGCAGCAGAGTGAGAACGCCAAAAGCGCGCACAGCCGCAACAGTAATTGTCACATCATGTTCCAAGTTGCAGATTAGCCTGGTGATGGCTTCTGGTATCCAGTGCTCTTTTTACTGAAGCTGCATCAGGGTCCTGGTATGTGGCCGTACAAACACTGGTGCTCAACACCAGGGGGCGTGCGGTTACCCTGCACCAGACCCTGCTAATCCATTCCACACTGTGACTCCTAACTTCAACATCAGGCATACTGGGTCCTGGTCGTCCGACCGCCGCTCAGACAGTGTCTGGGTCCTGGTCACCGGACTGCCCATCTGACTGTGAAACTACGAATGGATCGTTAAATCTGGTATGAACCTGAACTTTGCAGTTCGGGTTTGCTCAACTCTATTATGGTTCCTTTGATCGCTACATGTATTACTTGGATAACTGGTAATTCTCAAGCTAATACATGACGACGAGCGCAAGGGGACGGCCGCTCCGCTTTTGCACCCTGCTCCCTCTTATGCTGTGCTGGTGCCTCTGTGCGACTAGCGCTTCTTCCTCCAAACTGCACACGTCACCTGCATGACCTTGATTCCATGTGGGGTCTAGGACTTCATAATCCTCCACATCATCTTCCACCCACTCCTCAACCCTGCCCTCCTTGCCGGTATGCACACTGCAGAAAGCCACAGCAGTTGGCACCTGTGTTTTTCCAGCATGTAAAGTCTGCAAAGGACATATGGAAATTGTTTTAGAATTGTATCCAGGCAACAGTTTTCCCTATAAACTGACCTCTCAGTTTGACTTGTGAGGATATTGCCCCAGAATTACAATATTGTTTAAGTACCTCTTAGCTATTGATAACTGGTTTAAATATAGCAGCTTGTTATCTGGTAGTTTCTAGTGTCGAAAATATCAATCTGTTTTCTATCACTTAGATCTGTGTAACAAGTGTTGTAGGTGTGAAACAATATTACAAGTGACCAATGTAGTAAATTCGAATCAAAGTTACACTTCGATTTGACTGTCAGATATGAAGTGAACACCCCAAAAATACTTTTTAGCACCAAAAAAAAAAAAAAATTGGACTTTTTAAAACTCCAATGTAAGCAGCAGATTAGCATCAAAACAATTAGAATGTTTGCAACTGCGCACTAAGCGCACTATTTGACGCTTCTATTTGACTCTTAGATATGAAGTGCACCGCAGGCCACAAATGTAGTATTTAGCAGATTAGCAGCAAAATAATTAGAATTTTTACAACTGCGCTGTAAGCACACTATTAGACGCTTCTATTTAACTCTCAGATATGAAGTGCGCCCCACTAAAATACTATTTAGCAGTTTAGCACCCAAAAAATTTTACGTTTTAAAACTGCAATGTGACAGCAGTATTTGACGTTTCTATTTGACTCAGCTATGAAGAGCACGCCCAAAATGTACTATTTAGCAGTTTAGCAGCAAAACAATTAGAATGTTTACAATTACTCTGTAAGCGCACTATTAGACGCTTCGATTTGACTCTCAGATATGAAGTGCATTCCCCAAAATGTACTGTTTAGTACCAAAACAATAAGAATGTTTACAACTGCGCTCTAAGCGCACTATTAGACGCTTCTATTTGACTCTCAGATATGAAGAGCATGCCCAAAATGTACTATTTAGCAGATTAGCACCCAGAAAATAAGAATTTTTACAACTGCGCAGTAAGCGCACTATTTGACGCTTCTATTTGACTCTCAGATATGAAGAGCACGCCCAAAATGTACTATTTAGCAGTTTAGCAGATTAGCACCCAGAAAATTAGAATTTTTACAACTGCGCTGTAAGCACACTATTAGACGCTATTTGACTCTCAGATATGAAGAGCAGGCCCCAAAATGTACTATTTAGCATATTAGCAGCAAAACAATTAGAATGTTTACCACTGCGCTGTAAGCACACTATTAGACGCTTCTATATGACTCTCAGATATGAAGTGCACCCCACTAAAATACTATTTAGCACCCAAAATTTTTTAAGTTTTAAAACTGCAATGTGACAGCATTATTTGACGCTTCTATTTGACTCTCAGATATGAAGTGCACCCCACTAATGTACTAGTTTGCAGAATTCTTTCCTAAGCTGTCCCTCACAGCGGCAGCATCTTCTCCCTACACTAATAAGACCTCATGTGCGTGCGGCGCCATGCAACTCCAGCTTATATATAGAGGCTGGGTCACATGCTGTGCTGGCCAATCACAGCCATGCCATTAGTAGGCATGGCTGTGATGGCTTCTAAGGGCACACAAGTCAAATGCTTGTTGATTAGGTGCCCTGCAGCCTTTGACAACGCGCTATTAAATCGCCGAACACCGAACTCCAACCCGAACATACAGTGATATGTCCGTGTTCGGGTCCGGGGTCCAAAAAACTTAATGTTCGATATGAACCCGAACTTTGCAGTTTGGGTTCGCTCAACTCTTTATATAACTAATTGCTTTTTAAGTTTTATATGTTGCCATATATCAATAAATTCATGTTGGGAATTATTTGGGTTTAATATGCATTGATGTTCATTCTCTGATGGGATGCTCTATTGTTTTTTCACTACCCTTGAAAATTCTGTGGGTTTCACAAATCTGCCGAAATTACGGGTGAACCAAAGCTGACAACCATTCTGTATTATACCTCATTTGGGTTATGTAATTGTTTAGTTATGTTCATGTTTACGTTAATTTTCATTCTTTCTAATAAGACCTTCCGGCAGGTATAGATAGGTATACATGGGGCCTGGGCATCCTTGGCCGCCCTGCATAAACTGCAAAACAAATCACAGCTCAGATATATATGAAATGATGGGAGAAACACAGGGAACAACAGATCTCCCGGTATTTATTTCCTGACACCTCCATAGTTGCAGTGTATGACAAATGGCAGTAAAAATGTTATCACTCAATATAAAAGGACATAATTCAGCCCACAAACGCAGATTTCTATGGGAAGAACATATTAGTCTCCTGAAGGCAAATATTATCTAATGTTTGCCTCACTTTACCAGAGGGAGGACACATAGATTCCAATGCCCAATGTACCCTTACATTTATCATGCACATAATGCTACTAAGATCAGGGACCCTTTAATAATTTTGCACAAGTGTCCACAGTGCAATATTCACTCTGTCATCAATGACCCCAGTGGCAGATGCAATTTAATGATGGGGTCCGTCCCAGGACGAGAGATAGCATTACTAAATGTATACCTACCAAATGAGGACCACTATAGGCACCCAGACCACTTCAGCTTAATGGGGTGGTCTGGGTGCCTGGTCCAGCTAGGTTTAACCTTTTTTTTCTATAAACATAGCAGTTCCAGAGAAACTCATGGCACTATAGTGCCAGGAAAACGAGTAATACCATCCTTTAATACCATTCTTAGTAAAATATATTCAGCTTAGCCCACATACTGTATAGTACGTGGAGATTTTAACTTGTTATTCAACCCATAGGAGGATTCTAACACCAGCTCATCAAGCTAAGATAGTGAAAAGGCAAAGTATGAAATTTAGACTGTTAATGCATGAAAATCACCTATATGATGTATGACAGATGTCAAATCCAACAGCAAGCTAATATTCGTACTATTCCATGTACGCAACAAATATAGTCGTATAGATCATTTTATTTTTTTTACGAATAAGCAACTCCTTAATAAGGTGAAACATATGTCCTATGGGGCTTTTACATCGTCAGATTACTGAGAAAAGGTGATGTAGGGAAGCAGTGCCTTCACGCCCTTCAGTAATGTCCTCAAATCCAATTGAGTATAGGGTAATATGAAATGATAAGAAGACAATAAAATAAAATCTAGTGCAGTATTTTCAATGCTGGTGATATTAGATGAAAATAAAGAAATACACTTACAATTTTCTGGAACTAGCTAAAATCACCTCCAGATGTATTTGCTTGGACCGTATGACCCCGTCTATGGACATGCTGGTATAGGTCCTGGTCCTCGGTTAGAAGATATTCTCAGGCCTGTCAGCGGTGGGCAGCAATTACAAGTTGCTGGGGATGTTTTCTTTCAGTGCGTTGTATTTCAGCAGCACAGGTACACCAGCAGAGAAATATAAAAACAGAAAATAGTGCTCTCTATATGGATAAATAGGGAAAAAAGGATAAAAGGAGGTATACTCACAAAAGGAAGAGACTCTGGTTTGGGAAGTCCGAGCAGCCATTGCACCATCGCTAGAAATCCAATTTATTCTATCCATATAGTCAGATTACTGTCCGCTGATATATAGGATACAAATAGGACCTCCTACCCGTATATTCAATAAATTGCTTATAAATTACTCTCTCCTGCAAACCAGTGAAACAACACAATACTTAGAGACTAAAGTTAAAGCATACTTTGGAGAAAACGAAGATCCAGACACCTCCACATCAGCATCCCTTTGGTTGGCCCATAAGGCCATGATAAGGGACAAGATCATAGCATATGCATAAAAAATGTCAGACCATGACAAACCTAACCGCGAAACTACAAACACTAGAGACTCTACACAAAACCAAGCCCAGCTAACAGATAAAACAATCAATCTGCAAGATACACCTAGAACACACTGAATTTATGCGGAGAAAACTAAAATCTACATTTTATTCTGCCGGCAATAAAGCAGGTAAAATGCTATTTTAAACTCAATAAACTAAGTAAACAAACTGCATCGGCAACAATACCATACTTTGTTGATGATACAGAATGAACAATCTTAAACCCACAGGCTATAGCTAATATGTGCGCAAAATTTTACGGTGCCTTATATAATTTAGGAAAATGTGAGGCAACTCATCGACCTCAAGCAACGAAGATAGATTTGTTTTTGAATACATTATAGCCACCCAAAATTACACCCTCTCAAGCAGAGATGCTAACGGCTCCTATTACAAGACTTTAAAGC